ACATGATCCAGTCTGGCAGTTCTTTGTTCCAGTGCAACCACAGCCTTCACATTAACATTCTCCTCATGTTATATTGGCCCTGGTGTATCTTCACTGTTGATAGCAAAGGGGTGCAGGTCATCGCAGACTGACTACTGTGATTTTAGTTGCTATGTTGTTTACGCTGAACAGTGTTAAATTAACTGTTAAAATATATGCAGCTGACAGTAGCCTGTTTAGGGCAGCTCTCACAAGTTGTAATATAATAGTGGGAAAAATCTAGCAAAACAAAGACAAGTGCAAATACTCATTCACCACAAATGAAATGAACTAGTGAGCAGAATACAATGGCTGACAATGTAACTTAATGATGGAGAATTCTCTTTGGGGCGCACAGGCTACCCCGGTCTTTGGATGGTTGGTACAAGGACCAGGGACTTCTCTGTCATGGCTGCCAGGACTGCGTGCACACACACCCCAACCCCAACCCCACAAAGGCCCTTCTGTGACAAATTTCAATAGCTCTTGCACCTTTCTCCTGCAGCTTCTCTTCAGACATGTAGTCAGGCAGCGGAGCCAAGGGACTGGGCACTGGGGCACAGCCCGCACGGTAAGGAAACACCCCAGCCATGGAGAGGCAGACTAGGGACCAGACAGAGAAAGGAAGGCAGGCTCAGGTCAGCGTCTGCCACAGAAGAGAAAAACTCCTACACCCCGCCCCCCTTCTTCTTCCCCACGGGCCCCCGGGGCGCCCCCCGCCCGCCCCCCTTCTTCTTCCCCACGGGCCCCGGGGCGCACCCCGCCCGCCCCCTTCTTCTTCCCCACGGGCCCCCGAGGCGCACCCCCGCCCACCCCCCTTCTTCTTCCCCACGGCCCCCCGGGGCGCCCCCCTTCTTCTTCCCCAGGGCGCCCCCCGCCCGCCCCCCTTCTTCTTCCCCACGGCCCCCCGGGGCGCCCCCCTTCTTCTTCCCCAGGGCGCCCCCCGCCCGCCCCCCTTCTTCTTCCCCACGGGCCCCCGGGGCGCCCCCCGCCCGCCCCCCTTCTTCTTCCCCACGGGCCCCCGGGGCGCACCCCGCCCGCCCCCCTTCTTCTTCCCCACGGGCCCCCGGGGCGCACCCCTTCTTCTTCTTCCCCACGCGCCCCCGGGGCGCACCCCGCCCGCCCCCTTCTTCTTCCCCACGGGCCCCGGGGCGCCCCCTTCTTCTTCCCCACGGGCCCCCGGGGCGCACCCCGCCCGCCCCCCTTCTTCTTCCCCACGGGCCCCCGGGGCGCCCCCCTTCTTCTTCCCCACGCGCCCCGCCCCCGCGGACCTCTCTCCTTTCAGGCTCCCCCGCGGCCTCTCTGGCTTCTACCCGCAATGGCGGTCCCAGATCGCCGCAGCCGCGCTCCAGGGACCCGGATGGGCTCAGGAGGCGGGACATAGCAGAGCACATTGACCAATCAGCTCTCGGGATGGGGACGGATAGGATCCGCAGCCTATCACAATTTGATAACCGGCTAGGAGGTGGGTCCAGTCACCGGAAAGGGCAGGACTAGCTGGGTCAGGCACGCGGATATTCTTCCGGTCGGAGATCTGCCCGTCACAGCTCACGTAGAGCCACGCCCCCTATAGGCCACGCCCCTCCATGCGTAGCTGACCGCTCCCCCCACCTGCGGGCGTTGACTCGGGATCCTAATGATGATGCCGCAGACGGCGCCACTTGGCTGCTGCTCATCAGGGAGCGAGGTCGGGGCCTACAGCGCCAGCCCCGCCCCCACAGCCAAGCCCCTGTCACCATCCCCAGGGCTGGGACTCAGCAGCCCCAGCGGGTCAGACCGCGGCCCCTCCCTCGCCCCCGGGCTGGTGCTCGATGCTTCAGGGAGAACGAGCAGAGCCGGGCGATCAGGGCGGGATCCGCTCCTTGTCCAGTCCTAGCTTCTGTCCGGCAGCAGCGTAGTGAAACCTGGAGCCTGCGGTTGGCCCATGACCCCTGTGGCTGGCCCATGACCCCTGTGGCTAATAGCCGTCAATGGGTCTCTTCTCCGTGAGCTTAGCACCTCCCGTTTCGAACCCGGGGGTCGCTTTGTCCTTCCCCACTCCTCCGGCAAAAGCGCCACAAGTTGACTGAAAGAAAAGGAGGACTTGTGGCACCTTAGAGACTAACCAATTTATCTGAGCATGAGCTTTCGTGAGCTACAGCTCACTTCATCGGATGCATACCGTGGAAACTGCAGCAGACATTATATACATACAGAGATCATAAAACAATACCTCCTCCCACCCCACTGTCCTGCTGGTAATAGCTTATCCAAAGTGACCACTCTCCCTACAATGTGCATGATAATCAAGGTCAGCCTGGATTTGTGCTGGAAATGGCTCTCATCCCCCCCCCCCTTTTTTCCTGGGGACGGACACGGACACACACACACACACTCACTCACCTCTCCTGCTGGCAATAGCTCATCCAAACTGACCACTCTCCAAGTTTAAATCCAAGTTTAACCAAACGTCTGTGGGGGGGGGGGGGGGTAGGAAAAACAAGGGGAAATAGGCTACCTTGCATAATGACAAGTTGACTGGCGGGTGTGAAGTACTTCCTTTCCTCTGTTTCAAGGAATGTATCTTTTTTGAGATAGGGTGACCAGAACTGCACCCCCTATCCAAAATGTGATCATAAAATAGATTTGTACAGGGGCATTAGGATATTTTGTGTCTTATTATCTGTGCCTTTCTTAATGGTTCCCAATGTTCTGTTTGCTTTTTTGACTGCTGCTGCACCCTGAGCAGATGCGTTCCAAGAACTAGTATCCGCAACAATCTCATACAGTGACTCCATGATCTCTTCCTAGAGTGGTAACAGCTAATTTAGACCCCCTAATTTTGTAGGTAAAGGCACGCAGTGCCCCTAGGAGCAGCTGCCCCCTCATCATCACTGGGTTGCACTGATACATTCATTATGGATGCAAACACCAGAGGCAAGAAACCCAGCCCCACCGCTGAACCTCACCTCCCCTCCCGTTGTGAGCTTCACCTTTGGAACAGTAAGCCAGGATGAATCAGACAGTTTCCTACTTGACTGAGTAACCCAAATAGAAGTTGGGCTTTCTGAACAGTAATGAACCCTCCGATTATTTTCACTCTACAGTCCAGCAGCTGCCTAGAGAACAAAGGAGGACTGGCCAACCCAGTAACCAGGCAGGTGGCTGCATGCTGGAGCCTTTGGGGCACTACAAGACCTTTAGAGGTAGACCTAGATGCAGCCTGTCTGTTACAATAATAAAGCCTAGAGGTAACACACAAGGTACAGCTGTGAGGGGTAGGGGTTCTCACTTTAGGAGCCTGGTTTCTTAGAAAGTTTCCTGGATGCTCCTGTGTGGTGCTGCTGTCTCTGGTGCTAGAATCCCATAGGCCAGGGTGTAAGAAGGATGTTGCATGTGGAAACTGGAGGATGATGCTGGGGGAGGAAGATACTGCATTGTGAACAAAGCAGGAGCTGCAGGGAACCAAAACCTTTTCAGCTCAATTATTCCCCATAAACAAAAGGGGGTGGATCTGTCTCCCAGCACTCACCCTGGGGCAGATCCCACAAGATGGATGCATACAATAGTTCCTCCCAGAAATGTCCCCTACTACAGAACACCCACGTGCAACTGTACCAACCAGAGCCAGAATCCCACAAAATATATGCAGAAAAAAAACACTTGCCAGAACCACACCCATCCCCAAAAAACTTCAATATATGTAATGACCCAGCCACTCCCAGTCTCTATTCAAACCCAGGAAAAGATTTAAGGGTGGCAATTTTGCAACAGAAAAGCTTCAAAAACAGACTAACAAGAAACTGTTGAGCTTGAATTAATATGCAAACTAGATACCATTAACTTGGGTTTGAATAGAGACTGGGAGTGGCTGGGTCATTACACATATTGAATCTATTTCCCTAAGTTTCAGAGTAACAGCCGTGTTAGTCTGTATTCACAAAATGAAAAGGAGTACTTGTGGCACCTTAGAGACTAACCAATTTATTTGCGCATAAGTTTTCATGAGCAAATAAATTGGTTAGTCTCTAAGGTGCCACAAGTACTCCTTTTCTTTTTCCCTAAGTTGAGTATCCTCACACCTTCTTGTCAACTGTCTAAATGGGCCATCTTGATTATCACTACAAAATGTTTTTCCTCCTGCTGATAATAGCTCATCTTTAATTAGCAAAAAGAAAAGGAGTACTTGTGGCATCCTAGAGACTAACCAATTTATTTGAGCATGAGCTTTCATGAGCTACAGCTCACTTCATCGGATGCATACTGTGGAAACTGCAGAAGACAATATGTTTCATGGTCTCTGTGTATATAATGTCTTCTGCAGTTTCCACAGTATGCATCCGATGAAGTGAGCTGTAGCTCACGAAAGCTCATGCTCAAATAAATTGGTTAGTCTCTAAGGTGCCACAAGTACTCCTTTTCTTTTTGCGAATACAGACTAACACGGCTGTTACTCTGAAACCCATCTTTAATTAGCCTCTCACAGTTTGTATGGCAACTTCTAACTTATCTATATATCTCATTCTTCTTACTATATGTTCCATTCTATGCATCCGATGAAGTGGGCTGTGGCCCACGAAAGCTTATGCTCTAATACATTTGTTAGTCTCTAAGGTGCCACAAGTACTCCTGTTCTTTTTGCAAATAAGATTAATGTATTTCTTAAATCCACAAAACACTGAACCTTCTAGAGCAGGTCCTCAGCACACAAGGTGTTGAGCACATTAGGGAGGCGCTCAAAGTGTCAGGGCTTTGCCGGGCAATGCTCTGGAACTACTCCCTACGAAGCCAGTCAGGACTCTGGGGGAGCCTCCTCGCTGTGAGCAGACTGTCTCCAGGGCCAAAAGCTCACATAGCTTCCACCTTCCTGGGTCTGACCTCGGAGCATTCAGCATCCCCTTGCACACCATGAGCTTCCCACAGCGAGTTTGCACATGCAGGACTCCTGGGGAAGCCAGAGGGTCCTGCCCCCCAATTCCACAGTCAGACATGACTCTCAGCCAGCCAGTAAAACAGAAGGTTTATTAGACGACAGGAACATGGTCTAAAACAGAGTTTGTAGGTACAGAGACCAAGACCCCTCAGTCAGGTCCATCTTCGGGGAGCAGGGAGGCCAGAGGCCAATCTGGCCCTCCCTCCATTTCCCCAGCCAGCTCCAAAACTGAAACCCTCTCCAACAGTCTCCCACCAGCTCCTCTTCCAGCCTTTGTCTCTTTCCCAGGCCAGGAGGTCACCTGATCTCTTTGTTCTCCAACACCTTCAGTTGGCACCTTTGCAGAGGAGAGGGGCCCAGGCCATCAGTTGCCAGGAGATAGGGTGTCGGCCATTCTCTGTGCAGCCCCTCTACAGCTCTGGAACAATCACACGCCCTTATTCCACCACCTAGATACTTAAGAACTGCATGGGGGAAACTGAGGCACCCACACAGTATTCAGAGAAAACATTAAGAATGTTCCTGCTTCGTCATATCGGGAATTCAGGTCATTCAGCATCTCACCAGATCAGGACCTTAGTCCTTAACACAGTACAACAGAGGAACCTTGGAAGCAGGTGTGAAGTCAGTGTTTCTGAATGAATCAGAAGGTATGAGGCAGCGAAAGCAAGTTTGGCCCCTGCTCTCCCTCTAGAGCTGGCAATCATCACAAAGATGGGTTCATGGCAGAGATCCCAGTCCTGGTTCTTACAGGTCCCAATGCACTGTTATCCTTCTCACTGGGACCAGGAGTCCCCATCCCTGTAGCTCTTCATCCCAGGACTGTCAACTTGGAGCAGGACCAAATAGCATCAGAGTCTGCTTGTAGGTAGCAACTGGCCACATACCAAACTGAAAATCCATCATATCACCCACTCCTTAGCATTCCCATTGTAGATGATCTGCACACACTTATTAGATGAATCTCTCAGAATATCACAGTATCTTTGGTTTCCCCAGTGTCCAACAGAGGGTCCCAAGCCCTCTACAGAGACTTCCTGATTTCAGTGTCCCTACATTTGAGGTACCCTAGATAAATCCTGGGTGCTCTGCCAGGGAAGATGTTGAGATCCCTTTAGTCTATACAGGGATCTAGCCAGAGCATAGAATGCTGTGAGTAAACAATGCCACATGATTAAAGGGAGGTAACAAACAAGAATCTGACTCAACAAAATTACATTCTCCAGAGATTGGGAGAATAGAAAACAAATTACTATAGAAAGACTAATAGGTAGTGTGATACAGCATGGCCAGAGGGCAGCAGGAGAGTGTCAGAAAGGAGCCTTCTTCCTTGTAGAGGGAAGAAAGTTTGCTATAGATTAATTAAAGCACCTGACACCAATTAGAGCACCTGAAGCCAGTCACCTGATAAAAACCCCCTGCTTCAATCAGACAAGGGGAGGAGTTGAAGCAGAGTGGATTGACGTTGGAGCAAAGAGCAGTTTGGAGGGAAGCAGAGGAGAGTTTGGAGAAGTGCTGCGGTGCATTAAGATGACCAAGACCCTAGGTAAAGGGACACCTGGTTTGTGCAGAGGGAGGGCAGGAAGCCCGTAAGCTGAAGAGCAGGAGAGGGAAGTAGCCCAGGGGAAAGAACCACTAGTTCAAGTGGTTTACTGCTATCCCTAGGGTCCCTGGGCTGGGACCTGGAGTAGAGGGCAGACCTGGGTCCCTCCCTCTCCACTAGGAGAGTAGTGGGGCAGTTAATACCCCAGTTCAGGGGCAAGAAATGGTGCCCTGAATCCCCCCCCAAGAAGAGAAAGCATGAGACCCATCATAGTAGTGCTGGCAATTTGCCACAGTAGGTAGAATACATCACAGAACAGGATTGTAAGGATTGAAGGCAGGCATGTGAGATAGTATGGAAGGCAGAGTCAGGAGCAAGGGCTGAATTGGGGAAGGAAATAGTGAAACTCTTCCAAGTATCACCCACTTGGGGACCAAACTGAGATCACTCCCAGATTGCACAGACATTCAAAGTGATTATGCATGCTCTGCTGGGCTCAGTACTGCCTTACAGCTTGGTGGCTCCAGGGATTAAATACAAAAAACAAGGGGTTGCAGTCTCCTCAGCTCTAGGCACATCCCAAGCTCCCTCATATGTGAAACCAAGATAAGTTATCACTCACAGCAGATTGTACAGATCTTCACACTAGGATATTCCTCCTCCTTTCTTACATGTGCTGATCAGCAATTAAACAGTTAAGTTTTGGTATTTAAATTATTGGTCAGTTTTAGAGCTAAAATAGCACTGAAAAAAGAGGGCACTTCACACTTCTCTGACATGCTGTTCCAGGCTGTCTGAAGACTTGGACATTGCTGCATTCAGTTCACATTCAAAAACAACATACCAGCTTGATGAACTGGCCCAATTCAACCCATGGTTGAGGAACAGGATGGAGAGAAAGGGAGTGGTTAGGAAAGGATTTTAGTCAAAACAGAGCATGGCGGGGGGGGGAGGAAGGAGAGAAGATAGGTAGGCAGGAGATGAGTTGTGATGAAGTTTGACCTACATGTAGAAGAAAGGAATCCGTACTGAAGGAAGATGTGGCTGGAACAGCAGGATAGCAAATGATTCTCAGTTGCCACTGCTGGCAGTCTTTGGAGTGATTACAGTTGGGAAATACAGGAATCCAGGTTATGGGGCCAAGCAAAAACCTCTGAGCAGCTCTGCCAGAGGGGAAGGGGAGGACATGATGAAGGATCACTCAGAGGAGCACTGACCTGCAGGCACCCAGGAAGGAACGATCATGTGTGTCAGGCCACTGGCCTGAGGAGGTGTCACGAAGGACTTGGGAGAGGAGTTGCAGTGCAGTGAAGTGGGGAAGTCAGACTGGAGGAGAGAAGAGGCAGCATGCTGCCCTGAAGGGCAACAAAATACAGTTTAGAACAGAACTCAATCCAGGATGTAGGCCCATCTAAACCTCTGGCTCTGCGTCTGAGCACACGCTGGCAAACGCTAACTCAGACTTTATTGGTATTTAGATTGGAACCTTTTTGGGGCAAGCACCATCTTTTTGTTCTGTGTTTGTACAGCACCAGGCGCGGTGGGGTCTTGCTCCACAACTGGGGCTCCTAGGTCCTATGGTAATTCAAATAAATCATTCAGCAGCTAGAGCAGAGTTCACTTGCTACACAGAACTGGACACAGACAGGGCGAATCCAAGGAGAAAGGGCTGGCTGCCATCTCCGCCATGGGTGCTGTAAGTGGGAACTAGACATAACATAGGTGGTGGCACTTCATCACATCATGACTTCTATGGGGACACCAAGAGTCACAGGCTCACATGCCCAGTGGGGTAAGATTATCTGCTGAGCAGTTTTCCTACTGGTGACAAACCAAAACCCTAAACTCGAGATTCTTGCCTGCACCTGCAGGCTTTGCTGCACTTCCCAGCCTGCAGAACAAATGGAAACCAATGCAGGTCTGGCCACACTTAGTTCCCAACTGATGGCTGCCCCCACACAGAGTTTGTTTTCTCCCCACCATGGAGGGGAACATACCTGGATTCCTCAGATTTTTCTGCCTTTTAACTTGCTGAAATTCCACACACCTTCCTAGAAGACGGGGGTCTCAGTCTCAGCATTTCATAGCCAGTTGTTTCAGACTGTCCCCCTGCACTGTCAAAACCAAACAAGGGATTTCAAGTGAAAGGAGAATGGTTGTGAGCCCTTCAATTCAGGACTGCTGCTGGACCTAACAGATTTCTCAGAGCTGGTACACGTGAGTCTGGGCTCTCCCTTCTATACAGAGGGCTCATCTAGAGAAGGGGTTTGGTCAGAAAACTACACTGAGATCAAAAACCACTGCCACACATGGGACCCAGGGGGAGTGGAGTTCTGCCCCAGGGGACATCTAGCCCTGTAAAGATTTTACCAGGATCTGGGAGGCTGACCAGAGGGCTGCTGTGTCACCTGAGAGTCTGATGAACAAGGATGGATGTAAAAAGGGTTTAAAAACTTAAACAGGAAAAACTTTAAAGTCCTGCCAGACTCCACCTCCCTCCCCTCCCCCACAACTCAAAGTCACTCAAAGCAAGGGTGGCAGGAGCACATGGGGCAGGATGCTAGGGCTGGGAGGAGTCCATGACAACTTCATACCACCACCACCCCCACCCACACACCAACTTTTCTCTGAGGTTCAAGAAGTCCAAGTCACTTCTTTTGCCCACTTTCCTCCTGTTTGTCCTCATGGCAAAGGCTGCTCCAAGACAGGAGCACAGAATGGCACAGAAGTCTGTCCACAGATTGTTAATTGGGTTCACAACCTCCAGAGCCTGCTGGACTCTTTACTCCTTTTAGATGCCCAAGAGCCACATCTGCAAGACATCCACTTCCTCTCTGCAGCTGTTCAGAAGATTCCACACCATCCTCTTAGACACAGTGATTCAAGACTTAATTACTGCAACTTATTACATCTAGGAACGAAACTGAAAATTCTGAAAGAGCTCCCTCAACCTCACCCCTTTGCTCTGCACTAGCTCTCTTCCAAAAAGCATCCAATTAAAGCTTTCTGTCCTGATATTCAACCCCCCCCCCCCAATGGATTGACTGAACCTACCCAAGAGTTCATCTCACTCCATTACCATGACCTCCCATCACAGCTATGTTCCTCTGGGACAATTAACGTGTCAGCCCCTAAGAGGCTCATAAGTGCAGAAGAGAACTATCACAAGGGCAGGAATTGGAAGGTGCCCCTCAGGCCTGCAAGAGATGAGACCACAGGCCTCACAGGTTAAGAGCCAAATGCAAACTGTAGCCGTTCAGCTTAGCCCTCCCTCTGAGATTTCACAAACAGTGTGGGGCTTGGGAGAAATTGTTCTGATACTTTTAACTCTTATGAATTATGGTGACATAGACCATGCAGGTACCTAGAGAGCCCATAGGATTTCCAACCCAGTGCGCAGAGACAAGGAGCTAGAAAATCCTCATAGCTTTTTGAAAGTTCACACATCACTACTATAGGAAGGACAACCCCCTCCTCTCTCTTCTCATCTAGGCCACTGCCCCATGCTGCTGCAGGATCCTCTTCAGAGCTCCCCCAAGCAGCCACCTGTCAACCAATCATCCCATCAGAGGGTGCAGGGGGAAAACAAAGCCCTGAATTCTGGCCTGGAAAGGCCTTCCTTCCCTGCAGTGTCCACTCGATCTCCCCACAACTGTCAGGTGGTGTTCTAAAGTAACTGCAACCCCAGGAAAGCCCAAGAATCTCATCTAGAAAGGACTGTAATTGTCCTCCATTCCTTCAAACAAGATAGTGACACGCTCCTGTCCGCATCAGTGCTTACTCTCTGCTGGTTGCAGTCCCTCCTCTCTGTCCCCTGGGCTGCTGATTTCCTGGACAGCCTGCTGGGGGTTGGGGACAGGACTATTTCTCCTTCTCCCGCCATGCCTCCCGGCTGGACTTAAGGAAGTCACTGCGCAATAAGCGGTAGAAGAGGATGATGTTCATGGGTGTCATGATGGCCATGCCCACTGTGCCCACAGTATATGTTGCCAGTGGTATGTTTTCACGGTTTAGGACCAGCCAGCGTGTCATCCAGGCCAGCGTGGTGATGCGAAACACTACGTAGGTGCCCAGATTTATGATACTGTTGAGGCGGTAACAGGTGGTGTGCAGCAGGTTGGCCATTAGAAGGATCTGTCGCAGATGCAGGAAGATGGAGTTAATCTCTACAAGCAAAGCCACAAGAGCGAATCCAATATACTGATGAACCACCACTGCCACGCTAAAGCAGATAATCACCTGAATATGAGAGAGAAAAAGGGGTTAGCCAACCGTCTGATCACCTGCCCCAGGGCAGGGAAACGGTGAAGTTACCTGTCAGAAACTAGTTCTCGTCCACCACAGTCAACAAAGAGGCACTGATGCGGACGAAAGAGGCAGTGGCTGCCATGCAGGACTACACCCCCCAAAGTCTTTCGTGCCTGCTGGCAGGCCCGGTGCTTCCGAGGGCAAAGGGGTCATTTGCCTTTCCCAACTGTCTTCCAGGGGCCCCAAATCATTGTCAGAAAGGCCAAAACATGTACAAAGTTACCCACTGCTAAGCAGTGGAACAGCAGCAGTTTGGTGAGTCCTCATCCTTTGTATAAATCAGTGCAAAAGACTGAAACAGCAGCAAAATTTTACTTTTGTAAACTCTTAAAATTCAAGATTTGTCAAGGGTCTAACTAGCCCCTGGACTCCTGGAAAGTTTCTTGTTTTTAAAATAGAGACATCCAGGGACGCAAAATACCAACTGCCCCTGAATAAGGGACCCTATGACAGTCCTCCCTGCAGGGCTTAGAAGCTCTGTTCTCGTGCTGTAAACCCTACAGGACCCTGATCCCCATTACTTTTCCATCAAGTCAATAGCCTGCTGGTATCATCCCATCCCTTTGTACAGCGCCAGACAACCTCTTCTGATGTAAGCTGAACAAATGAATGAGGAAGGGCAAACTGAGGTGCTAGGCCCTCAATACGTAAGACGAGAAAGGAACACCAGGAGCAGCTATTGCAGCCAGAGACCTAGCCCTGCATTTGTGGCCTGCGGAATGTCATTTGGGCCCCAATTAGGGAAAGTTGGCCCCACTCCAACAGGAATTTCCTAGCACTCAGCAAACAGGAAAAACAGCTGAGCAGCAAGATGAGAAGAGAAAACTCATAGCCTAGGGTAACAGTGATCAAACTAAACAGCACACAGAGGAGCTCAGGGAGTTCCCCCCAACGACCGACTCACTCTCTCAAGGGATTAAGGAACTTTTGTGCACTCCGGACAGCCCTGCAGCCCCCTCACTGAAAAGTTACAGCCACTCAAGGAAGGAAATGCCAGGCACAAGTCACACACAGTGAGAGATGCCCAATAGAAAGGGCAAGACTGAGCACTGCCCTCTTCCCCAGGGGACTGGGATGAGAAGCTGCAAGGGTGGAGAAGTAGGAAGGGTTTCATGCTCCCTGCTCCCTCCAGAGGTCATGGGGAAGAGAGCTCTGTGTGCCTGAGAGAAAGAGTTAGGACCCCTACCTGTCATTTATTCCATCAATGCTGCCCTCTGCACGGGCTCTTTAATGAGATTATTTGTTCCCTGCTGGTTAAGCTCCCTGGCTTGGCCTGAATTAGATGTATTATTGCAATGACCTTTTGACCCATCCAGCAGCAAGCCCAGATGACAGCAGACAGGGCCCATGCTGGAGCCTGAGAGAGGAGTAGGTCTAACCACTGCACCAAATCACCCTCACCCTCTGGAGCGCCCCCAAGCTCCTCCCATAGATTCCAGCACAGGACCTTTCTCACATCTGCCTGCCACACCTTGCCTCCTACCAGATACTCCTGCTTCTACCCTGCACCCATAGAGGGAAATGAAAAATGTTCATGAGCTGTTATTCAGTCCATTCCTCAGCACCCTCCCACTACAGTCAACAGGGACTGAGGCCCCAAACAGCCAGGCAGGCACCATGGTACAGTTACTGCCCAGGCTCTGGTTCACCCTCACTGGAGCTCCCCACTGCCCTCTGCATTTACCTCTGTTTTCTCTCCCCTACTGCTGGGTAAGAAGTGCAGACAGGGCTTAAATTCTCAGAGTATTTCCCAGAGTCCACCATGCCCCCGCTCCCCCCATTCTCCACAGGGGGCACCATGGGGCTAAGGGGTTCAGCTCCACAGGGGGTGCCCCGAAGCCCCACAACCCCCCTGAAACTGACTTGTGCCCCCCCCAAAGGGCCACAGACCCCCCAGTTGAGAACCACAACAGCATCAAGCTGGAGTCACGGTTTGAAAATATTTACCAGAGCTCCACTCTGGACAGCTCCAGCTGAATTTAAGCCCCGAGTGCAGGTTTTATTGGCTCCTGTGTGTTCTGGGCACAGCCTGAGCCCATAGCCAGTGTAGGAAGGGACTGGTAGGGGTGAGATATTGGGGGACAGCTGATGAGGAGCAAGCAAGTTGTTTGGATTTTGTTCTGCAGTTCACATCCTGGAGTTGTCAGCTTACAGAGACCCCAAGCCCCTTTACTAAGTTGCCCGTGCCTAGGGAGATCAGTGCACTGAATGGAAAGAGCAGAGTCCCCCACACTGGGAACCTGAACTCACTCAGAGGTAAAGAAGTGAGATTCCAGGAAAGGTATGTGGAGGGAACTGGTGCAATGACCTCTCTTGGCAGAAATTCAAGTTGTGTGAAGCAGATACGAGATGGGATGGGCTGCCTCCCATCCTAGCAGAAAGCTCGGGTCACTGTTTGCGTAACACTGGATTTATTAGTTATGAAACAGCCTCAGCCTGGGAGTCTGCAATGAGAACAGGCTTCCAGCCTTCTACTTTCTCCACCCCATGGCATCACCCTCGGCTCCTTCTGTGAGCAGAAGGGGCTGCTCCCCTGGCACTAGAGCACCCCCAGTTTTACCAGAGAGAGTGGGACTTGGGTGAGAGTGATGCAGAATGCGCACAGATGACACAGGCTCATGCGCACATCAAAATTAGCATCATCAGCTTTAGTACCAGGAGGGACTCATGGTAAGAAAAAATTACTGTCAATTGTCTCCCTCACTTTTGTTCTTCCTTCTCTTGCCTTCCCCCTTCCCTCCACTCCTCTCTGCCCCTTCTCCTCTCTTTCAAGGGAACACTTCATACTGGCAGTTGACTTTCGCTGTCCCCTTTTCCCTTGGACATTCTCCTCTCTGCTGATTAAGGACCTGAGGGGCACATTCTCCACCCCGCTTATTGGCTCTTTGATAGTTAATAGCTGGAGGATTGAGACTGGCACATCCCTTTTTCTCCTCACTTCTTCTCACTATTTCCTCTGTCTCGCTACTGTCTCTCTCTCTCAGCCCTCTCAAGTTTATATGCCCCCCTTCTACCCTGCCCAACTCAGCAGAATGTGTGAGCGGGCGCTGCATATTCTCTCACTTCCCCCCATGCAGAGGTGGAGAGGGAATTCAGGGGTACATATTTTAGAAACTAATGGGGGCACCCCTCCTCCCCCATCCTGTTCCTCATGGCTGCCATTAGCTGTTAACTCAGAGTGAGGAAAAGCCCTAGCCCAGGAGACAGCAATTGTAATTACCCTGATCATCTCCAGCCACAAGGATCCAGGAGCGTCACGCCTAATTTCAGGAGTAGTGAAACCAAATGCAGACATTTTGCACCAGATAGAACTAAACTAAAGTATTCCAGCAGAAGCTGAACACAGCTCCCTCCAGGCCTCGAGGACTGTTCACAAGAGGCCAGTGGTGATCAGGCTCTGCCTCAGTGAACTGGTCAGATGTCCAGTCCCTGCCAGCCAACTGACTGACTTGTCTTCAGAATAGTAAGGCCTTGCATCCTGAACTCCTTCCCATAGTGACAAGTGGAAACTCACCACCGAGTGATGGAAAAGCAGCTCCCAGGACTGGTGAAGCTTCTGATTACACAACATATCCACAAAATCTTGGAGAAAATATCCTGCGAAAGAAGAGAGTTCCCATCAGCAGGAATCGCCACAGCAACTCAGTGCCACTTACCACTCCAGAGGAGAGAACTGGGTGTGAGCTCAGCGTAGGAGTCCTAGAAGGCCTAAGTGCTGAGATATCATGGTGATGAGCATGGTATAAAAACCCACACTAGAGCCAAAAAGCTCTGCACTTGAGGAGCTCTGGGGCCCTGCGTGAGCTCTGTGCTACCTTCAGGAGTGCTGGGACCACAGACCCCAGGATAATGAAAAACTTATTTTGCATTTCAGGTACCTCCCATGATTCAAAGATGTTGGAAAGGAAGAGACCTACTTGATCATCCCGTTCATCTCCCTAGAAATGCATGATCGCTCCCTAACACACCTCTGCTAGTTTCTTAAAACTGGACTAGACGTGTTCACGTATGTTTAATGGCTTTCCTAGCCTTAGTCTGCACTCTGCCAGGATTGTTCCTGGGAAAACCATTGGCCTCACCCGCCTCCCCACACAAATCCCAGACCCAGCAGCTGCACCTAGCATCCTTCTCTATTTCCTGGGCCATAGCTTCCATTGCCTGGCTGTCACAGTCCCTCCCTATCCTCAAGTATATGACACACACTCTTGAAGGAGTATGGTCAGTTTCAGTAGTACCTCCTGGAAGGGCTGGGGAGAGGAGACCCCAGGGTCCCATCCCAGCCTGGGTGTTTTTGGGGAGGAGTGTCCCAATGAATAACTTTTCATACAAGTAATTCTGCCCATCTGGAATGGCCAACCTTTGGGGGTAGGCAGAGGAGAACTAGACACCCTAATACACAATCCCTTCCCACCCAGCAAAAGAGTTTGTTACTACAAAATGCAGGGTTAACGTAGCAGGAGAAGACGGGGGACCCGTAAGCCACTTGAAAGTCTGCTGGGTCCGCGTTCGACTTTAAGGACCACCTCCCATTAGAAAGTGTGAGTGGAATCTGAGTGTAGAGCCCCAACACACTAAGACCCTGCAGGCCTTGCCACCAAGCTTGCAGCCCAGGAACCTCGGCCTGGAAGTCAAGGGCACTTTGACACTTCACCCACTCCAAAAACATCAGACACAGAAATACTGAGCAAGGTGCAACCTCAATTTTCTCCACCCTCGCACAAGGTCTGTGTTAGCTTCCTTTGTGGATGAAGAAACGACCGAGAGGCGAAGTGACTCCAAGGCCAAAGAGAGAGTCCAAAAGTCCAGGATCAGAAACAAGTTCTGTGCTCAGTGCCCCTTTCACCATACACACACAGAGCATGCAACATCAGTTCAAAGCTGCCCCAGCTCCCCACAGTCTGAAAACACAGACAGCAACAGCCCTGGTGTGACCTTACAACCTAGGAGGGCATTAAAGCTGCCCTCCCACTCTCTCCCCACATTTACTACAGGCACCCCTTTCCTCAATGAAAGCCCACAGCTGATGGAACTGCTGAACTCCTCCCCACACCTGGCCACTACCCTCATACAAAGAAGGGCAGCAATCAGGATTGAGGCTTCTTGCCTAGGGTCTCTACCCCGTCTGGAATCAGTAACTTTCGTCTCTAGTTCTTTAAGGTGCAATGCTTTGGTAGTAGCTATTCAGACAAATGTTCTGGGTCTTGCAGTTAGCATCCGTTCCACAGGCAAAGCACGGAATAGGGAGCAGTGCTGCCGCTCCCTAACCACATGGGGGAGGGAACAACAGGGATGGATCAGCAGAAGGAACACACTGTCCCCGCTGAGAATGGGGCAATTGTTGGCTTAGGACGATCATATGCCTAGAGCAAGAAAGAGACATCACCAGACCAGGGTGGCCCAGTACAAGGCAAGTCCGCGTTTACTTTTTTGTTCTCAGAGATTCAGGGGCTGTTGGGATCTCACCGGTGAAAAGAAAACCAGATCAGTTACAAGTCAGAAAACACTGGACCTGAGGACAAAGGAGGAACTTTCAGGCCAAACAATCACACCTTCTTACAGTGGAAAACAAAGGACTGTAAAGAGACATGCTCTGTTCGCAGCTCCTGCCTGCACACCCCAGCAAGAATTGCTTTTGGGCCAGTCCAAGGGATTTTGCCCTCCAAGGAACAAAGGTCTATCCAGACAATTAAAGCCTGTACACAAACTTGCAGCCAGGGCTGGCCTTCCCCAAGACTCCCAGTTCCTGCAGCAGCCTGGACACAACTGGCTCTGGGGCCAGGTTCCAGCACAGGGTGGGGACTCGCTTGGAATCAGCTTTCAGGTTGGTACCCAGGACCCCTGTTTTGCTGTGGGGCCACTCGGCCAGCCCCCTCCCCCAGAAACGGTCTTCAGATTCCCCTCCAGCCGGCGAGACTTGCCTTGCTCCAGCCCAGGCGCCCTCCACAGTGGTCCCAGCACTCCCCACGCTGCACCAGGAAGCCCGGAAAGTCTCCCTGGGCCAGGGCATTGCCCCAGCCGGTAGAAAGGAGAGCCCCCAAAACCCACCGCAGAGGGGGAGTGGGGCTGCCACACGCTGCCCTAGCCTAGCCCAGAGCCAGGCCAGGTGCGGGATGCTGCGGGGACTCGCTCACCTATGGACACCGAGACCACGCAGTGCGCGGCCGGGGAGTGAGTTCCGATCAGGTCCTCCGCCATCTGGGGGTGGAGATAGAACCTGCCGGGGAAGAGAGCGCAGGGTAAGAGCCGAGCCGAGCCCCGCGGGCCCCCAGCGGCGCCCCCCCGGCCCCCGCGGGCCCCTCCCCCCCAGCGGCCCCCCCCCGCGGCGCCCCCCCGGCCCCCTCACCCCAGCGGCGCCCCCGCGGGCCCCTCCCCCCCAGCGGCGCCCCCCCGGCCCCTCCCCCCAGCGGCGCCCCGGCCCCCGCGGGCCCCTCCCCCCCAGCGGCGCCCCGGCCCCCGCGGGCCCCTCCCCCCCAGCGGCGCCCCGGCCCCTCACCCCAGCAGCGCCCCGGCGCCGCTCAGCAGGCTGTGCGCGAACGAGGTCCAGATGTTTCGCCACTTCCAGCGGTTGCGGAGCGCGGGGCGGGGCGGGGGCACCAGCCGCTCCAGCCCGCGGTTCAGCAGCCGGAACGCCGCGAAGGAGCCGCCGATGAGCAGGAGCCCCGGGCTCGGCCCCATGGGGGCAGCAGCCGGGCTCGCCCGAGCCGGCGAGGCTAGTGCGGGCCCGGGCTCGGGATCCCCGCCGCGGCTACGTCTCCTTCCCCGCGCTGGGACGCGCCCGGCCGCGGGCAGCGGCGGCTTCGAGCCTTGTGTAACTTTCTTGTAACCACCCAACAAACTCCCGGCCCCGCGGCCTCCCATTGGCCCGGAGCGGCCCCGCCCCTCCACGCGCCACGCAGGCCCCGCCCCAGGGTGTGCCCGGGCCGCGCCCGCGGGGCGGGGCAGCGCGAGCCGGTGCGGGGTCCGGGGTCCGGGCGCTGGGGCGGTTGCGGTGCAGGCGGCACCGCGGGAAGGGAAGGGAAGCGCGTGGCCTCTCCGCCGTCCCCCTGGCCGCCAGCCCCGGGGCAGTGCTGACATTCTTACTGGCTGTGGCGCAGCAGGGAGGGGAGACCCGAGAGCCTGTCCCCTGAGCCGGGAGGGGAGACCCGAGAGCCTGTCCCCTGAGCCGGGAGGGGGGAACGTGCCCTGGGGGGGGGAGACCCGAGAGCCTGTCCCCTGAGCCGGGAGGGGAGACCCGAGAGCCTGTCCCCTGAGCCGGGAGGGGAGACCGAGAGCCTGTCCCCTGAGGGGAGGGGGAACGTGCCCTGGGGGGGAGACCCGAGAGCCTGTCCCCTGAGCCGGGAGGGGGAACGTGCCCTGGGGGGGGGAGACCCGAGAGCCTGTCCCCTGAGCCGGGAGGGGGGAACGTGCCCTGGGGGGGGAGACCCGAGAGCCTGTCCCCTGAGCCGGGAGGGGAGACCCGAGAGCCTGTCCCCTGAGCCGGGAGGGGGGAACGTGCCCTGGGGAGGGGAGACCCGAGAGCCTGTCCCCTGAGCCGGGAGGGGGGAACGTGCCCTGGGGGGGGGGGAGACCCGAGAGCCTGTCCCCTGAGCCGGGAGGGGGGAACGTGCCCTGGGGGGGAGACCCGAGAGCCTGTCCCCTGAGCCGGGAGGGGGAACGTGCCCTGGGGAGGGGAGACCCGAGAGCCTGTCCCCTGAGCCGGGAGGGGAGACCCGAGAACCTGTCCCCTGAGCCGGGAGGGGGGAACGTGCCCTGGGGAGGGGAGACCCGAGAGCCTGTCCCCTGAGCCGGGAGGGGGAACGTGCCCTGGGGGGGAGACCCGAGAGCCTGTCCCCTGAGCCAGGAGGGGGAACGTGCCCTGGGGAGGGGAGACCCGGAGCCTGTCCCCTGAGCCGGGAGGGGAGACCGAAAACCTGTCCCCTGAGCCGGGAGTGGGGAACGTGCCCTGGGGAGGGGAGACCCGAGAGCCTGTCCCCTGAGCCGGGAGGGGGGAACGTGCCCTGGGGAGGGGAGACCCGAGAGCCTGTCCCCTGAGCCGGGAGGGGGAGGTGACACCTCTGCCCGGGAATGTGGACAGAGGCTGCAGGAGGGGGCCTGCTGGGGGGGTTTATTTTCCGTTTGGGGCTGGGTGGTGGAACACAGGGAACCCCAGGGCTGGGGTCTAAGCTCCCTGCTCCCGCAGAAGGACTTGACTGAGGGGTCCTGGGTGTACCCACAAGCTCTGTTTTGGACTGTGTTCCTGTTGTCCAATAACCCTTCTGTTTTACTGGCTGGCTGAGAGTCTCAGTGGATCCCAGGAAGAGGGGTGCAGGGCCTGGACTCCCCCACACTCCGAGACACTCGTGTGTCCGCCGGCTGTGCCCAGGGACCGACCAGAAGCGGGGCCTGTGGTGCAAGGCGCCTGGCCCAGGGGGATTGCTTAGGGAGTCTCCCATCCTCGACACAGGGAGCGCAGAAGGGCTCTAACAGACACACGCACATTTTATTGACATTTGCAGCGTTGCCAACTCAGCACTTTCTTATGATCCTCCTACTCCCTAGTATTTTTCTTATAGCCCCAGTGCCTGCAGCCAAATGAGTCAATGAGAACTTAAACTTTCCCATACAGACACTGTGGTTCTAGCCCTCATAGGCATGGGGAAATAAATTGAAAACATGACTTACAAAACCAACATTTTTATTTTAGGAAACCTCACAAGTTTTAAGACAAGCTTATGATGTTTGGGGGCGTGGCTTTTTTTTTTCCCACATTTAGGATTGGCAATACCGTAGGGATTGGGAGGACCAGCCAGGGGCACAGTCAGAGTCAGGATTCCATTGTAGCAGGTGGTCTACAAACACCGAGACACAATTCCCAAAGAGCTTTATGAGCTAGGAAGAAAGAGAAACTAGCAAGAGTATCTGATGTTGAAGGGCTCTTTAGCTATGTACAGTTACAATGAAGTACTTTCATTTAATCTGTCAGCCTGCTCCATTGGCCTTTACGACAGCTCTAACACCCACACCAACGTATACAAGTAGATTAGAAGAGAGGCCTTGGGGTAGCAGCCTAGTATATTCTGAGTCACATCTCCGTACTTGTGCTTGTGGAAAGGGGAAACATTCCATGGCTAGCAGCTTCCTCCATATATTACTGCCTTCTTTTAGTATATTAATAGAAATACGAGGCACTGGAAGCATTCGTCCAGGTTTGGCTAAACTCTGTTACATGTTGAAGTGAGACTTGGGGGTAAGTCACCTTTTCTGGAAAGAGACGTGGGAAGATGTGATTAGATAGGGAAACTTTGTGCTGTTCCAGGTATGGACTGAAGACCCTGGCACATATCTACCTGGAGTGCACCAGGTTGCAGCCCCTTTTCCGTCTCCTCCAGAACCTTCTCCTCAGGTTCTGGCTGCACTTTTCCCTGCATCTCCTGATTTGTGCACTCCCTGTCCATGTGCTTGGAGTTGCAATAATAGTAAGTTGCTTCCATATGGAGAATTCCCATCCTTCCTTGACCTAGTTAAGGACGCTTTTTCTTTCCTTACCATAACCAGTACTCCTCTTCCATCTTCCCCAGTATCCAAGAGAGGTAGCAAGCAGATCTGACGTCTTCCTCACTGGAATGCCACATTGTCTATCTACACTCAAACTGTATCAAATGACTAATTCTACTGAGGTTGATAATAGCTTTGGGTCTGGAAGGCCCATGCCTTTTTCCTTGTGGGAAGTCACTGCTGCAGAATAATCATTGATACTTAAATGGACACATCCTGCAGTAAAATTGCTTCACACCTGGGATCATAGCCAAAGGGAAGAGCCCCAAAGCTGTTTTTGTTGGCACTGTGAGAAATAACCTCACACCTATATCCATCTCCTGGGCTTATATAGTCTGTGGACCAGGATCATAAGAGCAGATGTGGAATTTGTCTTGGAACTCTTGAGACCAAAAGAAATTTGTACTTAAAGTTTTGCACATGACTGTGCACTTGCTCTCTCCATGGTAAAATTAGTGATTGTTCACAAATGGAAAATATGGGGGCAGATCCTCTGGTCCAGCCAAGCTGAGCTCAGTTTAGGATAGAAGTAGGGAAGGCCCAAAAATGACTTTAAAGTGGGTGCTAGTTTGGTCCCTGGTGTAAAGTAGAGCAGAGTGAAGGTATGCTGGAAGGGCATAATGAGTGGGGTCCCGCAGGGATCAGTTCTGGGTCCGGTTGTGTTCAATATCCTCATCAATGATTTAGAGAATGACATAGAGAGTACACTTATAAAGTTTGTGGACAAAGCCAAACTGGGAGGGGTTGCAAGTGCTTTGGAGGATAGGATTAAAATTCAAAATGATCTGGACAAACTAGAGAAATGGTGTGAAGTAAATAGGATGAATGCAAAGTACTTCACTTAGGAAGGAACAATCAGTTGCATCCATACAAAATGGGAAATGACTGCCTAGGAAGGAGTACTGCAGAAAGGAAGCTGGAGGTCATAGTGGATCACAAGCTAAATATGAGTCAACAGTGTAATGCTGTTGCAAAAAAACAAACATTCTGGGATGTATTAGCAGGAGTGTTGTAAGCAAGACACGAGAAGCAATTCTTCTGCTCTGATTAGGCCTCAACTGGAGTATTGTGTCCAGTTCTGGGCACCACATTTCAGGAAAGATGTGGACAAATTGGAGAAAGTCCAGGGAAGAGCAACAAAAATGATTAAAGGTCTAGAAAACATGAGCTATGAGGGAAGATTGAAAAAATTGGGTTTGTTCAGTCTGGAAAAGAGAAGACTGAGGGGGACATGATAACAGTTTTAAAGTACATAAAAGGTTGTTACAAGGAGGAGGGAGAAAAATTGTTCCCGTTAACCTCTGAGGACAGGACAAGAAGAAACAGGCTTAAATTGCAGCAAGGGCGGTTTAGGTTGGACATTTGGAAAACCTTCCTGTCAGGGTGGTTAAGCACTGGAATAAATTGCCTAGGGAGGTTGTGGAATCTCCATCATTGGGAATTTTTAAGAGCAGGCTGGACAAAGACCTGTCAGGGATGGTCTAAATAATACTTAGTCCTGCCATGAGTGCAGGGGACTACACTAGACAACCTCTCAAGGTCCTTTCCAGACCTGTGACTCTATGCTCAGCTGCCCAGAGCCTCCAGATGCCAGCAGAGGATCAGATGGAGGCCACAGTGTAGCAGACATTCTTCCCTTTTTCCTGCTAATGCCCCTACACTGGTGGGCGAGGGATGTGATTGGGTGTAGGTGAAAGTGGGCCCTGTAGGGCCTAGTATCTGGATAGTGGTTATCAGAAACATTCCGCTGGAAACTTTGGGTTTTGAAAGTTAAAGGCTTGGGGACACATTGCCTCTCTTTCTGAGCCAAATAGTTTTCTACTCCCCCTCCACAGAGGCTAACTGCTACACCAATGTGAAAGGAGAACACAGCCTGGCCTGCAGCTGGCATGGTGGGGTCTGTGGTATGTTGGTGCCCAAACTCTCCCTCAGCTCTTCATTGAACACCAGTCACCTGGAGCCAGGGGTCTCATCCAGTCAGAGGCAGCATTTGGTACCTAGTGCTTGCTGGTCAGAGGTGCTGAACACCTGAGACTCTCACTGCATTCAAGGGGAGCTCGCAGAGGCTCAGCACTTCTGGAAAATCGGACTGCATGGTTATAGGTGCCATGCAAATACCTCAGATACCAACAGCTTGTCAAGCAAAGTCCTAGGTAATACAGTATACCGTGCTAGGTCTTTGCAAAGGCTCAGAAAGAGGCTAATGTGACCCCAAGAGATGGAGAGAAATTGCATTTGCACAGTCTTGTTTTCTGAACTATTTTGCATATGATGAAATATCAAGATTTTATACCACACCCCGGCACAGCTAGCCGATAAGCCTTTGTACTTCAGTCAGCCCTTTTCATCTTCAAGTAAATGAATTTCATTAGCAACAGAAGCAGGATAATTATAGAAATTGCACTTGAACTCTTGCTCAGTCATTCCCCCTCATTATCCATTAAACCAATGACACACTCCCCTTCCCAAAGGGGGAGGAGCATAACTCCTCATTGCCAGGATACAGACCTCTTGTGACTGACAGGGATATTGTGTAACTTGTTGAGGGCAGCAATCCAGATGTGCATTCGCTGCAGGAGACAGGGACAGACTTGTCTCTCTTGACACACACCAGGTGCAATACAGGAGGTTTCAATTTCTTAATTCTGGTGAGGAAAAACACTTCGGAGCTCATGTGAGTATTTATGATTCCTTTCTGCAGGGTAAATGGAAATGATAATGACATCCGTGTGGGGTGGGTGCTCCATGGCCAGGCTTTTGAGGTAGAAGTCTCAGGAGTTAAATTGTTGTTCCTGTAAGAACGAGTTGCACCTTTTTGTGGTGAATCAATCTGCTTCTGTTTATGTTTCATCTCCCTTGATGCACCAACCACAGACCTCACTTTGAAGCAGCTTCACTGCCTGCTCCAGGGACTACTCACCAGAGGAAAAAAATTGATTTAATTCCACAGGTCTCTGCTATCTGCTCTCTGTCTCTAGTTTACGGATTACCAAGACAGCATCAAAACTAAACAGGCAAGGCTCCTAAGTACTGCTGGGCAAAAAATTCTGACCAAAACTTTTTTTTAACTGAAAAATGCATATTTGGGTTGACTGAAACATTTTACAAATTTCTGCAAGTTGTGCCAAATTGTTTTGGCCCCCCAAAAGTCCAAACGTCTCGATTCTACATTTTCAAAATTAAACCTTTTTTCCCCCTATTCAAAATGACTTTTTGTTTTGAATTTTGCTTCAATTGTATTCTAAAAAGTAAAAAAAACAAAACATGAAACTAAACAAAATGAGTCATTGAACCAGAATTAAATGTTCAACTTTTTTTGTTTCAGTGAAAAATGCTTGTTTTGGACCAACCCAAATGACATTTCATATCAATGTTTCAGGTCAGCTACAACTGAAAAATCAGTTATTCTCCCAACGCTACTCCTAGATTCCTTTCAGGCTATAAGCCCTGTTTGGTTATATTGTTCCCAGGCAAGGTCACGGTTAGCACTAAACAACTAATACGTGTCACAGGTGCAACACTTCCATTTAGACCAACTACTGCAGAAATCTTGGTTTCGTGGTGATTGTGCTGTAATCACCTGCCCTTTTGTGGGCTAGAGGAGGGGGTGAGTCCCCCTGCCCTGTTGCTCCTAGGCCCTCATTCCCATCACCCAGCGGCAGGGCCCCACCCTGCCCTGCCCACAGAGGCCTGGCTTTCTCCCAGTTCCCAGGTACCCTCACCTCTATCGGTACCATTACCTCAGGCTGTGAGCGAGGCCCCAGCCCCGCCCCGCCCACCAGGGCTGAGGCACTGGCCTTTCTCACCCACGCTCTCATCCCAACTGCCTCTGCCATGAAGCTTTCTGGGCTCCAGACTTGGGGGCCTGCCTGCTCTGGGCCCAGAGCTGGGGGAGCCTACCTGCTCCGGGCTGTCGAACTACTCCTGCACAGAATGGCTATGCCTGCAGTTCTGGCCCCTCTGTTTCCAGAGGAGGTCATGCCTTGGGGCAGGGCCAGTGAGCAGGGTGATTTGCTGAGCACTGGCTTTAGGAGCCCCTCTGTGGGGTTCTGGTGCATTTTTTGGGGGGGAAAGTGTAACAGAGGGTGGAAGGGGAACAGGGCCTGGCTGCCAGCCCAAAGGGCCCGGGGCCGCAGTTGTGGTGTCACACTCCCACGGTGCACCATCAGGCTGAGACAGGTCTGCAATCTGCCCGGCAGCCTAGGTCACTCTGGGGCCTGTGTCCTCATGCTGAGGTGCATTGTCACATGGTGATGAGATCATAACACAGATGTCCCATCAGCAACTCTGAGAGCAAAACAACCGAGCAGCAGCCTTTCCAGAATGCTCTGCTGCAGCACCCCATTCCCCATCCCTAACTCCTCTATGCTCTGTCTTCAGCCGGCCAGCCGCTGAGACGGGCACCCACAAGCATGGACACTGAAGACAGCATCACGGAGCAGGTCTGCCAGGAGTCAGAGGTCCAGGATGGCGAGTGAGTGTCAGATCATGGCAGGTTGGGGGTAACGTGAAAAGCCAGTTCCCATCACCTGCACTTGCTGACAGACCTGACCCAGGCCCTCTCCAGCTGAACTCAGCCCAACCTCTGTGTGACACCCAGTAAACCCCCCAGCCCCACCCGCATCCCCTGCTGGCACCCTGCATTAGCACATGGGGAGAGTGGGTCCTGCCTCAGCAAAGCGGGCCAAAGAGGTGGGTGTGCTGGGGGCTTCTGTTCCTGTTCTGCGCCTCAGCAACAAGGCTTCATTTAAGAGGTGGCTTGGCTGGGACTCCTGTGAACCAAGGAGGAGGAGGCAGGTTAGGAAGAAGACAGCTCCGCAAAAGCCCACTGAGAGGCTGTAGGGGGCCTGGAGCCAAAGAAACATCAGCCCCATTGCCGTGGTTATTGGAGGCTCTTGTGGGACAAGCGAGGAGTCAGGTATGGCAGCCTTCTCCTCCAGCTGCCCCCGGGTGGGCTGATTCTGATCCCACTGCTCCCTGTGGTTGCCCCACCGTCCAGGGGTCCAGGCTTGTGCTTGTCTCCTGCAGGCTGCGGGAAGTGGAGGTTGCAGGCCACAAGGTGTTGCTGGCGAGGAGTAAGATGGAGTTCAGTGCTGTGGGGAGCAAGTGCACACATGCAGGAGCCTCTCTCAGCAAAGGTAAAACCCGGCGGGTATCTCCAGCTGCCAGGCAAAGCTCAGGCCATGGGCAAACGCAAGGTAGAGGCGAAGGTGTCAAAGGAGACACTGTGCAGAGGACGGGCAGCATCCCTCCAGGAGCTGCTGCTTTTCTAATGCTTCCGCCTAGCAGCCTAGCTTCTCATTCCCTTTCTCACTGCACCTGCCTTCTCCTCTCTGTGCAAAAGGGCAAGGGAAGCCCATGCTGTCACCCCCAAGTCAGGGACAGCCCAGCCCCACAGTGGGAAATGAACCAGGATTCATTCACCTGCTTTTCAGGGGGCTGCCTCAGCATGGTGCCATTGGCCTTGTCTCAAGTCACTGCTCTGGCCAAGCGCCCCCTGCTGGACTCTCACCAGACTGTTGTGTTTGGCTCCCTCCCCACACATACCAGGGCGCTTTACAGCAGGGGTTCGCACAAGAAATTTTTTGGTGGCCTCAGAGTGCGGCCACCGACTATTGCTGGTGGCCGCTCTGACAATTTTTCCTAAAATACTCGATTAACTTTAGGAAAAACAAATAAATATGTCCAAATCAATGTAATTTATTTATGTAGGGTTTTTTGCAGACTTGATAATAAAAATAATGTACCATTTTCTTTAAACAGAACAGAAACAAATAATGTGTTTTGCACGTTCTTGTCCCTTTCTGTTGTTGTTTCTTTTGCTTTTTGTGGTTGCTTATTTTTTTAAGACTTGCTAGGTAGTATGTCTGTTTCTGTGAAAAGTGATTAGTATTTTATTAATATCACTTTTCACATCAAGAGACTTGCTAGCTAGCAGGGTGGCAGTGAAAAGTGATATTAACAAACATACAAATATCACTTTTCACAACAGACTTACTCAGCCCTGGCAAGCTGAGGGACAAATTAAGCCCTGGATGGGAAGGTGGGTAGAGAGGCAGTTGGGGATTGGGGGCGATGAGGGGGGTGAGACCGGGGACCAGAGCCCTTCAGTTCCGCAGCCAGGGACTGGGGCTGGGGGATGCAGTGGGGGCTGGGGGCTGCAGAGGTCTGTTGGGGGGGGGAGGTGAGCTTGGGGCTGGCAGTCACTGCCGCATGGCTGGGGGCTGGATCGTGTGGCCCCATGGCTGAAGTCTGAAACCCTGCAGCTGGGGGTCAGAGCCCGCTGCCACACGGCCACAGCCCGGGGCCAGACGAGGCTGCATGTTGGGGGGGGCTGAGTCTGGAGCCAGGGTCAGGGCTCAAAGCCCGTGGCCAGGGGATGGAGCCTGCCACCACATAGCTGAAGCCTGTTGCCCACCACCTCAGATCTGAAGCCCAAGCCCCACTGCCTGCCTGCTCCTCCAGCATTTGTGGCTCCAGAGGGGTACAGGGCCCAACCCCTGCTTGCAGCCCTGGGGGAGGGGCCACTGCTTTGCCCCCCTCATCACCACGCAGGAGGCCATGGCTGCACAAAGAGCCCCTGGTGGTCACATTTGAGAAACGCTGCTTTAAAGCCTCCCTTCTTCTGAATAGGCTGCAGCACTGGTTCTGTTTGGCCTCTTGGGGTTGCTTCCTGGGCACAGACTGTGATACCCCTTCATGGAAGTGGGACCCCATGCCTGGCTACCCTAGCCTCCCAGGACCCCCTTTTTTCAAGAGCTCCCACCTTGTGGGCACTTGGGTTCACAGCTTACCCTTTTAGAGACATGTGCCAATGGACTCAAACAGATACCTTGTGCACAGGGATTTTTGAAAACAATCACTCTTTACTAAGCTAAACAGTAACACCAGCATGCCATATCCTGCCTCAGTTTCCTCACCACTCGCAAGCATTCTTTGGGAACTGGGTAGTCTCCTAAGAAGTCCAGGGTCTTTCCTCTTTCCATTCCCTCCTGCACATGGCTTCTCCTCCAGAACATAGAGTCTCTCTCTCTCTCTCTCTCTCCGCTCCCTCCCTCCCTCTCTCTCTCTCTCCCCCACAAGCAGTAGCTTTCAACACCCTGAAATGTGAGAGGCCCTTCTTTTTATAACTTTCCCCTTTGTCAGCTGACCTCCAATCAGCTTGAATTCTGCTCTACCAGATGATCAGTTGCCTTGTTACCAGCCCACCAGGCAAACTGGTTCTTCTGGGCAGTAGTCAGCTCACTGACCTAGGGGGCCTCCACTTGAATAGAAGGCCTAACAGTTTAACAACCCACCATTGTTAGTCCTGGGTCATCACCTCTGGAAATTTCAGCCCAAGCTGGAGGTAAAAAGACAGCAGAGGAACTAGATCAGCCTTGCACTCCAAATGGAGTTTGCAGTTCAGTCTAGATACATGAAGAGTCCATAATATCAACCAGAATTCATAAGTTGTACACAGGATTCCCCAAATGATCTCACCCATACAGTACTTCTCAAGGATAGTGAAGAGGTACACAGTGCTGCTTCACAACACCTAATGAGGTGGGCAAGAATCCTGAACCCAGTTTGCAGAAGTGAACAACTTACCCATGGTGCATCACATTACAGTCCAAGATGGGAATAGACTCCAGGAGTCCTGACAACAAGTTCTGTTCTACTCACTAGACAACACTTTCCTTGGTGTGTGACTTGCAGGAGTCTTGGCGGGTAACAGACTGCGCTGTCCCTGGCATGGTGCCTGCTTCAATATCAGAACTGGAGACATTGAGGAGTACCCAACTCTGGACTGTCTTCCCTGCTTTAAGGTGACATTATCCTTGTTACTTTTCATTCTACATCTCAGCTTGTTCTGTCTACTCTGTATTTGCTCCCCTTTTTGCCTCATCCATTCCAGTACCTGCCACTTTACATCCAGCTTGGGCCCTGGCCTCACCAGCAACTCTGTGGAAATGTTAGAATTCTCTTCCCTGGCCACCACTCTCCACAGTGGTTACTGAAGTACTGGTTTTCGGGACCATATGGCTCTAGGACCTAAATGCCTTTTCAGAAGCCTTGTTAGCCCCCTTGCCCCACATTGATGAGTAGAGCTTTTGCAAGGAAGAAGGATTTTCACAACTCTCTGAAAACAAATCATGTAATACTTCTGTAAGTGCTAGCAGGGTCTGTTTGAGCTGCTTTGGCATTGAAAGGTGCCTAAAAGTCACTCTGAACTTGTCAGATGGAGCGTGGTATTCTGTGGGCTTGGGTGATCAGCTGGACAGAAGCATCCAAATGTGACCTGCCCAAACCCACCTTCAGCAGAGGGGCACTAGCGCTCCTCACGCTTTAGAAGAGTGAAACATGAGACCGTCCAGCACGCTTTCTTTTCCCCTTAGGGCTGCTCTAGCTTTTTGCCTTTGAGAGACTCCTTAGGCTGAAAGCCCTAGGTTGCTTCTTTGGCATCAGCTTGCCTTATTAGTCCCACATGCTCATTGTGCCTTCACGGAAGACCATCCCACCTCCAGTGCCCACCCTCCTCCTCCTCAGTGCCGCTTGGCCCCAGAGTAACCCAGGCTTTGGTAGCAGCCATCTCTTGCAGGACACACACACTCCAAAGCAAAGGCTCCTCAGTAAATTCCCAGCAGCCTCAGCTGTGCACTGAAATCCCACTCTTCTTCGGTCTTTGCAGGTGCGAGTGGAAGACGGGAAGGTATTTATTACTGCAAAAAAAAAGGTACTGATCTCACCTGCTCTCACTGAGTAACCACAGCAAAGGTGGTCCAGGGACCAGTTGCCATTGTTTGAATAATTTCTTCTTTTCTTTCTACCAGGACCTTGAAAGTGACCGAAGGTTGAAGGCCATGAGTGAGCGATGCAAGAGCAACGAGAACACAATGCTGCTCCTGGGTGGAGGTCAGTGAATCAGAAGACAAAGTCTGAACACAAGCACCTGTGCTTTGGTTATGTAGCTTGTATGTCAGCCCCTCGGGCATATGCTGGGTCTGCTGGGCTCTTCTCCAGGGGTGCCAGGAGCATTCCTCCTGCGTGGCTAGTAAGTCGTGCCAGAAGGGGTGAGACTCATGTTCTCTCACAGGTACAGCTGCACTGGTCTGTGCAGAAACACTTCGTCAGGAAGGCTTTACAGGCAGGATCATCATGGTAACCAAAGAAAAGCATGTCCCATATGACAGGACCCAACTAAGCAAGGTTTGTGCATGGCCAGAGCTTCTCTTAAGAACTGTGATTGAGGGGATGGACTGGGGAGGGTGGGGGGAAGGACAGGAATTAGTAAAAGCTTCAGTCAGTGAACCACAGTCAGAGCTCCAGCTGCTTCAGCAGAGCCCAGTTACCCAGGGCTGTGAGCAGAGCCTGGCTATAGGGAGGTTACATGGTTCAGCAGGTTTCAGAGGAGCAGCCGTGTTAGCTGTATCTGCAAAAAGAAAAGGAGGACTTGTGGCACCTTAGAGACTAACACATTTATTTGAGCATTCGATGAAGTGAGCTGTAGCTCACGAAAGCTCATGCTCAAATAAATTGGTTAGTCTCTAAGGTGCCACAAGTCCTCCTTTTCTCATTGTCCAGCAAATCATAGAATATCAGGGTTGGAAGGGACCTCAGGAGGTCATCTAGTCCCACCCCCTGCTCAAAGCAGGACCAATCCCCAATTTTTGCCCCAGATCCCTAAATGACCCCCTCAAGGATTGAACTCACAACCCGGGGTTTAGCAGGCCAAAGCTCAAACCACTGAGCTATCCCTCCCACCCAACTGTCCCTACCCACTCCCTACAGTGCCTCCTCGTGGGACAGCCTTGGCCAGAAGCAGTTCTGAGCCAGTGATCTTACCCCATTCCCTGCAGCCTCTCCTGCTATAGACATGGTTGGCTTGGGGGAGGGCAGTTCGGTTTACTAATAAGAAAACACATTGCCCATGGTTTCAGAGTAGCAGCCATGTTAGTCTGTATCCACAAAAAGAAAAGGAAGACTTGTGTTAGTCTCTAATGTGCCACAAGTACTCCTTTTCTTATTGCCCATTGCGAACATTTCCCATGAGGAAACTCCAGAAACCCAGATCCAGGTTGCAGCCCATGTGCTGTTAACCTCCTGCACAGCGCGACTGGCTTTGTGGAGCTGCTCCTCATTCCTGGTGCTTTGCTTCGCTTCCAGGCGATGGATAAGACACTAGAGAGCATTTACCTGCGGCAGCAGGACTTCTTTGAGGCTCATGGAGTAGAAGTTTGGACCGAAAAAGAGGTGAAGGAGCGGCAGCAGCTCACCTTTATCAAAAGATCAGTCCTTGTCCCAAACACTGGCCTGGGAGCAGGGGACCATTGCTGCAGAATACTGTAGTTCTCCTCTGGAATGGTGGGTTGATTAGTCACTCTGTGTGGGCGCACACAGTGCATGTTGGGAGTCACACACCAAAGTCAGGGTTACCTGCTGAGCATTGGTACATGGGGGTAAACTAGTGGCAGACAGGCAGCAGTCCCATGGGAGGGAGGTGACTTTAGAAGGGGGCATATGGCACACTGGAGCTTTGGGTTCCAAACTGGGAAATGTAGCACTCTCCCACCTTGTACTTGGGTGCAAAGAGCAGACTGGGCTGGGGGCACACAGGTGCCTGCGTGGCTATGCACTGCATGTACTTAGGCAGGCTGTGGAATGGAGGAATGAGCAGTACGCTGCCCCGTGCCTTTCCTTGCTGCAGGTGGTGTCCGTGGACACACAGGGGCAGAAAGCCCACTTCCAGGATGGGGCCTTCCAGAGGTACGACCAGCTCCTCATTGCAACAGGCAGCAGGTGAGAAAGCGAGGCAGCCATGTGTGCCTGGCACAGGGGCCTGAGATGGGCTGAGTGCAGCAGGCCTTTGACCTCTTCAGGGCGGTCAGCTCCCTGAGCCTCTGGGTGGGGTGGGTGCGTCTCTGTGCACACAGCGGATGGGCAGACACAGCTGTCTTTTAAGATGCATGGCAACTGTAACTGAAGTCTCCTCTCCTGCAGCCCCAGGCAGCTCCAGTGCCCCGGCTCAGACCTGGAGAATGTGTGTTCCCTGCAAACCCCAGAGGATGCTAACAGGATTCTCCACCTAGCAACTGGCAAGAGGGTGGTGATTCTAGGCGCGTCATTCATTGGTAGGAGACTGGCATAGCAGCTGCCTGACTGCACATAACAAGTCAGAATAGGGGTGGGGTCAGATCACTAATTATAAGCAGAGCCTTGAAATTTATTTTCACCATGTGTGCTGATTAACCAGTGGCCATTTGCCAATGGGTGGCTGCTCCCTGCTATTCTGGGCTGTGCATTACTCCATGGGGAGTGCCCGCCAAGCCATTCCTCTGGGAGTGCTAAGAACTGCAAACAGCACTTAGACCTGGAGGAAGGGGATTTATTTTATGGAGGTGTCCCTTCATCCTTCAGGAGTGCAGGCTGCCTCGTTCAGCACCACCTGGGAGAGTGGGGAAGGTTTGCTGTGCCCTGGGGAGGAAAACAGGCCAGACGTGCAGCTAGTGGGGTGCATAGGGGGATGGAGAAGTCTTTGCCCTTCCTGGTAGTTGGATCCCTGGTGAATCCCAGAAAGATTCAGGATACTAGAGACTGATACTTGAGGAGCCCCATGGCTCTATAAAAGCAGGCAGCAGGGGCAGCATCTCTGACGCCCTTCCCACCCCCCCGGGTAAAAGGTTTCCAGCTTCATCCCTATTTCTAGGGAGAAGGTTGGTGCTGGGGAAGGGGGGTGTGTGCGCATGCTTGTGCCAATTTCACTGCAGGTGTGTCCATTGTGTGCAGGGATGGAGGTAGCTGCCTTCCTTTCAGACAAGGCCAGCACCATCTGCGTGGTGGAAAGAGGGGAGTTCCCCTTCCAGGCAGTGCTGGGGCCTCAGGTCGGAGGCGTTGCCATGAAGGTATAATTAATAGCGGACAGAGAATGCACACAAATCCAAGTGGTGGGGAAGCCCTACGCTGACCTCATGAGCGCAAACCTCCTGCCCACTCCGTGCCCGAGGCAACACTTACCCCTCCCTACCTGCCTTGCACACAGCTCCCTCACGTGCGCGCACACACAGGGGCTATTCCCAGCCACCCCTCCCTAGCCACACTGGTCTCCTCTCATCCCCTCTTGATTCTGGCCTCATCCTCACATCTCCCCCAAGCTAACAGTCCCACCTTATGTGCTAGGGCTCCCCTGTTCGAGCACAGGCTGGGGGCCCAGAAGGGGCATGGCTGTTCCTCCCTCAGCTGTAGGAGATGCCAGCTCTCTCATCCACAGGACCAACTTGGGGGGTACTTGGAGAACCCTAGTGGGCAGAGCTGGCCAGTGGCCCAGCTATTTGCCTGGGTTTCTGGAAGGGGAGGAATGTGTAATTGTTGAATTAATCAGGAATAGAACATTGATGAGAAGAGCCATTTTGGGCCAGGGTAATTCCTCTTCCTTGTTTCAGATGCTGCAGAATAAAAGAGTGAAATTCTACATGAAGGCTGAAATCTCTGAGCTGCGAGGAGAGAACAGAAAGGTTAGCAAGTCTTTAACACCAGCTCCACACCTGGACTGCTACCAAAATCTGCTTCCAATCTGGGCCTATACCATTCCACTCCCGTCCCGTGTTCCTTCCACAGCCCGTGTAATCTCCAGGCTCCCAGGCCACTAAACTCTACATTTGTATCACCTACAAAGGCACTAGCTTGCTCTCCACTGCCCCTAGGATCAGAGTCTCCTGGGCCCAGAAAAATGGATTGGGTGGTCCAGGGAAGCAAAGCGCCATAGCGAGGGCAGGCTGGGGGTGTCTCTGGGCGGAGGAGGTTCTGAGGCACCATCTCAGTGAATGGTGTCTGTTTCCTAGGTTACAGAGGCTGTTTTGGCCAGTGGAGAGACGCTACCTGCAGATGTTGTGGTGGTGGGAATAGGTAAGAGACTAAACAGTACGCCTTTGCTTTGTATAGACACCATCGTACTGATGCTGCCCCTCACCTTCCAGGACCTCTGCGTATCCAACACTAGCTAAAACCCAAAGCACTGCTGCCCACCGTAAAACAGAGCCTGGCTGGCTCACATTCCAAGACTAACTCCCAAGAGAATAATTACTCCCTCTACCCTAGCCCCAACCAACTCCAGCCCCCCCGAGATACCCTGAGCATGGCATGCTGGCGGCTTGATTGCCTTACACTCTCCCTTCCTATAGTACTGCTCCAGCAGTCCCCCTCCAGGGATCTGTTCTTACACCTATTGCGCCTGTTACCAAAATACCTTGCCCCGCTTAGAGCTGGGGTTTGGCTACCCCTCTTCAAGCTCAACCAGCCCCTGGCCTGTACCCCTCATGCAACTCTCACTGTCACCCTCACCTCCATATGCTGCTGTTTGTTCTTACTGCACTTTGCCCGACTCCAGCCCATGCTGGATTGAATGATACTTAAGCAGCTGTGCTCCCTCCTGCACTGGCCTATGTCACTCCTGCCACACCCCTTGCTTGGAGCCCAACTCACAAGTTTCCTCATCTTTCCCCAAAGGTGTCGCCTCCAACTCAGGGTTCCTGAAGGACACTTCAATTGCTCTGGACCGCAGAGGTGCCATCCTGGTGGATTTGGTGCGTAAGTTCCTGTGAGGCATGTACACATCACTTTTAAGGTGCCGCGCATATTAGTTCATTAATCGCACCCTTTCTCCCCTCTTAGTTCATGCAAACCAACATCCCAAGAGTCTTTGCTGCTGGGGATGTGACTTCATTTCCAGTCACACTGTTCGGTGGGACGACCGCCACCATCCGTCACTGGCAGATGGCACAGGCTCATGGTGAGGGACTGCAGGAGCAACAGCACTATTTGTGTCTGCCTCCTGTCCCAACACAGCTGGGAAAACAGGCTTGAGAAGTGGTCACTCAAGGCTGCAAGGGCTGTAGGACATGAAGAGCCACTGTCTATGCACCAGACCAGCTCAAGCCCCACTGATCAGCCCCAGCTCCACTGACCAGCTCACGTGCCATGCAATGGGGCCAGCTCTGACCAAATGGCAGAGGGAGGGAAGGGAAGGGGTCATGCACGTAGAGGTGGGTAGCTGCTCCAGCCAACCCAGCTGCCAGCACGAGTCAGTCGTTGGAAGCAATATCCTGCTTCCCACCTTGAGCCAGGACAGGAGACAGGCTTCATAAGCTGATGAACCTGAAGTTTTAAAAGTCTCCCCTGAAAGTATCTTCTGGAAAAATACATTTTCCCCTCCTGGGGTTTTCTGGGTCATTTCAGGTCACATTGCTGCTTTAAACATGCTGAAGAAGCAGAAGGCATTGCACACAGTTCCCTTCTTTTGGACCTCACTGCTCGGAAAAAGCATCCGCTATGCAGGTGGGAGGGGAGCAGAAAAGCTGGGACAACCGCTATTCCCCTGCCCCATACCTCTGCAGAGTTAGGTGCTCAGATACTGCAGGGATGGGGACCTAATAAGCACCCAGAGAGATGTTTGAACCATTCTCCAAGTCAATCAGAGAGTGTGAGGGTGAGAAGTCCCCCACCCCCAAGCCCCTTTTTTAATTTGGGGAAGCTATAGCTGAAAGTAGAAAACCCAGTGTCAAGTCATAGCCCAGGACACTAGAGTCAGAGGTCATGTCCCTGGGGCCCTGGAGACAAGGGTCACCCTCTCTCCCCTTGGCCATGGCCAGAGTCCTCACTGCATAGAGCATGCAGCCCAGCTCCTGCCTCAGGGTCTTTCCACTGGTCTACTGAGCAGTCTCCTCCCCCCACCCCCAAAGTTATTTGGTCATTAAGCTTAAGGGGCATGATGGCATTCACCCAGACCTAGGCCCCACTGCATCTTCTGTGTTTGCAGGCTATGGGAAAGGATACACAGATACTGTTGTGAAGGGAAATCTGGAGCAGCTGAAGTTCTTGGTCTTTTACATCAAGTGAGTGAATCTGTAACCCAATTAGCTTAGAACTCTTGGCAAGTCAGAGCCAAACCCGACCAGCATATCTGCCAAGAACTTACTCTTCCTGTGCAGAATGCAGCACAGACGTCCGTGGTGCTCTGGGGAACAGCCTGTATGCACCTCCTGGGGATGGTCCTTGGCAGTACTGCAGGGGCACGCTCCACACCATCCTTCCAAGGGTGTGTGCAACAGGGTTGCTGTCCATCCAGCTTCTGCACTGTGGCAGGGGCATGCACAGGAGGGAGGAACAGGCCCCCAAAGAAGAAGATTGGCAGATCTTTCAACAGCCTCCCTGATTTATAGAAAAGCTTCCTTTTGAGGTTCAATATTAAAACTGTAGGGTCCCAGGATTCAGAGACTGAGGCATATCAGCCCTGGAGAGAGGAAGGGAGAAGTAGGAAGCAGGACAGCATCTGTTTGCTCTGATTCTTAACATATTCAGTGCTTGATCCCCATGGGCACTGTGCATGTTAACAGACCCACACTTCGCCATGGACCAGCCTCCGCTGTCACTGCATATGGGGGATGCTAGCACCTGCCCAGCTCAGAGCCTATTAAAGCTGGCCCTGGACCAGCAGTCCCTCAAGCTCTTGGAGGCTGCAGTGCTCTGTCACTCAAGGGTATGGAGGGGAGAATCTCTCATTTGCTGAGGCTTTTCTCTTTCAGGGATGATTACGTGATTGCAGTAGCCAGCCTGAACTTTGACCCCATGGTCTCCCTGGTAGCCGAGGTCATGTACTCTGGCAGACAAATCTCAAAAGCAGAGGCCCAGTGAGTAACTCAGCTGACCCACTAAGTTCATGCCTCATGAGGTTACTGCTGCCTTGTTAGCATCAGCCCTGCCTGACCCAGAGCACTCGGTCACAGGCAGCCTTTTCCTCAGTGTCCTGTCTTCTGTTGCAGGTCCTCTGATACAACCTGGATGAAGCAAGCCTAACCCGAGACTGCCTAGGGGCTCAGTAAGACCCCCGCAGGCATAATCATTTCCCATACCCCGTCGTCCCACTTAGGAGAAATAAAAACCAGCATGAAATAGAGCAGGAGCCCTGCTTTTCTTGTCTGCAATCACAGCCACAGCATCCCTTCTCTTTACTTGGGGGCAGCAACCAGGAAAGTGTATTATTGGGGGCGGGGCGGGGGAGAGAAGAGAAGTGCCAGATCAACCAGACATAACTTGTCTTCTCTTCTGTAGCGGGAAAGCCGCTGGGCTGAAGAACAGCGGGCTGCCACGTTCTCCTGGAACTCAGCTGAATGGCGGCCAGGGCCAGGGCCTGAGCAAACAGGGGAAGCTCATATCCCCACCCTGCCGTCAGTCTGACAGCTCTATTTTAAAAAATGCCCCTGAATAGCGGCCAGTAAGAGAGAAGAGATTTCATGGAGATTAGTAGCACGTCTAACAGCAAAGCAGAGAGGCACCTTTTCTCCAGCAAGGGGCACTGCAGCCTAGATAAAAGTTTTTCACGCAGCTAGAATCCAGCCCCATGCTCTCTGTCCAAGAGCTAAAGCGTAATGCAGTTTCACTAATACTGCACCTCCTCTCGTGAGCAGGGGCACACGGTGCCAGAGCAAGTTAGAGGACATTAAAGGTTTCCTAGGCTGAGGCCTGCCTGCTACAATAGCATCGCTTGGGAACTTTAAATATTGCATTAGTTTCCTCAGTGTTTCCTACCTCTAGTGATTCATGTCAGCCCCTCCCAGCCCTAGGAATCTCAACCCCCAGCCTCGGTTATGTGCTACTTCCCCCCCGCAGCATGGAATGTTATCAGATCTCGGGCTACATCTCTGCTTGGAGAGGAGACGTTACAGGAAGAGCCAGATGGTGCAGGAAGTGCTCTGTGCCTGAGGGAAGCGTTACAGACTCTCCCATGCCCAGACTGGCTGGTAGGTGCTGCTTTCCACAGGCAATTTAATGCACTGGCTCTTTGGTGGTCACAGGGCAGGTTGCAGAGTAGGGTCAAGCTGTGTGAGCTGGTCATGCTCAACTTTGGGCAACTGCATTCTGCTAGCCTAAAATCACGCTGGCTTCAATTGGATAGAGCATTCAATCACTTTCTGGCCTAAGCTGCCTCAGTGTTCCTCCCCAGTTGCAGCTGCATTTTAGCAGTGGCAAAAGTAGTTGTGTGGTTTGCAGAGCACAGTGGACTCCTGCATGATGAGAGGGGCACTAAAAATGGTTAAGATTGAACTGTGCTAAACAGTGTGGGGATGACAGCAGGGGCAAGGGGAAGCGGGAAGAGCTGTCCCATTCTTTAGTGCTACATGATTCGCAGCACCTTGTATTTCAAGAGATGTCTGAGGAGGCCCCTTCCAAGGTAGGAACAGCTGAGATGGAGGAAGTGGAAGCAGAGCAGAAGGGTGGCCCGAAGGGAGAAAGCTGCTCAGATGGCCCCATATAAAGCAACTGCTTCTACCTCATTCAAAACAGCTTTTTGCCCCCCTAAGCACTTCACCACATGCTCAACACTGAGCAGAAGCCAGATGCCACGTCTGACCTTACAAGACAGAAAACCCAGCCAGCTGCAATAGAAGGGACTGACTATGGATCAAAGGCACAGAGGGTGTCGTTCCCCCCCGCCACCCACATGGTCACCTAACAATGATTGAAGATCAAATAAATTCAGCTCTGGCCTGACAAGCTCCAACCAAAACCAGCTGAGTTAGGGACTAGGCGGAGCTTAGCCTGAAGACCATCCATGAACAAACTCCAGCAGCCAGGAAGCTCTGTTTACTTGTAAGTTGATAGTGAAACACCTGGAACAGAAGCACCTACTGCTGCCCGTGCTGGTCCCAGACCGAAACGAGTAGCCCAAACCAGTGGAAGGCATCCCATGGCATATCATCCCATGGTATTCCTGCCAAAGACCCATTGCTGGAACCACTCCATTGCCATGGACCATGGCCTGGCAGACCACTTTACAACAGCTCAGCCTCCTAGCAGCGAGAGTCCCACCTGGCTCAGCCTTCAGAGGGCCTTGCCTGGATCCTCAAGTCTGGCTCCCTCAAGAGCTTATTGTGCCACTGAAGCTTCTTTCAACCATGTGACCGTTAGCCATGTAGCAGCATCCCTTGGTGAACATGCTTCGTAACCCATGGGTCTTCCAAAGTACAGCTTGAGTGAACATAAATCCAGCCAGGGAGCAGGTGGTTCCTAATTCAGGGGCCAGTTTCTCCTCCCCACCCACACTTGCAAGGCAGGGAGAAACTAGTCTGGCAGGCTATGCTGAGAAGAGGCTACACCATTGCTTTCTAGCCTCCAGGTGAGGGCCGCTCCCTAGGAAAGCCTGTGTGATCATTGCACAGCCCATGCCGCCTTCATTTTAGCAGGCCTGCTGGAAAGTAGCACCTCCAGGCTGCTTCTGCTGCAGCGAGGGGGTCCCGCCTCAAGAGGATAGCGGCTTGCACTTGGCAACGGCTTGGCTGGTCCCTGACCAAAAGCACCACCTGCCAAGCTGCTTTCTGGGGCTGCTCTATGCTGTAAATAGGGAGGCAGACTGTAATCGCTAAGGACAAAGGCCTGGCCCCAGACCTGAGCAGAGCTATATATGGCAGAGCATGGGGGCACATGGCAGGGAGTTTTCATCTTGCCCCAGGCTGATCAGTGTCTGCTGTGGAGCAGAAAGTCCAAGAGCCCTCTCAGCATGGCCAGAGTTGTTTTTGCTGCACATATATACAAATGCCTCACCCTACAGCAGCAAGTTCCATGGGTTACTTGGGGCAGCTGTGATGCTGCCCGTGTCATGGCCATATGCATGTCAGTTCCCTCCCCTATGGGAGCAGGGCAGGGAGTAGACAGCAACTACCTTCTCAGCAGCTGTGATGGTGAAGCTATAGCACTCATTCTTCTTTCCAAACTAGACAGCCTTCTCTCGGAGCACAGGGATTCTCCACTAGCATGCCTCAGAGAGCTTGCAGTTCCCACTCCCCTCATGGGCCCTTCTGCTTGCCATGACTAAAGCAGAGCACCGTCATCTGAGCAATGACATTCCAGTAACATACACAGGGGCACCTACCTGCTTACATAGCTCGAGCAGGCAGGGTGCCTGAGTGGGGAAATAGTCGCTGATCCCACATTCCCCAGGCTATTCAGCTATTGTCAGAAGAACCTAAAACACAGGCAGTCACATTCCTCCCATTCCATTGTGCTGAGGGGGTCCTGCAGGAGTGCAACCCCCCACCACACTACCATACATGTAGGGCAGGCCCTGGCTGTCCCTCACAAGATGCTGGTTCCTGGGGGAAAAGCATGAACACTCCACCCTATGTCCCATCATCTCTCCAAGCACTTCCCCTGCCATCTCCACATCAGTACTACAGTGCTCTACAGCAGTGGTTTTCAGCCTTTTCTCATTTGCAGACTCCCAAAAAAATTTCAAATGGAGATGCAGACCCCTTTGGAAATCTCAAAACAGGGTGCAGGTCCCCAGGGGTCCAAGGACCACTGCCCTATAGAGGGGCTGGCAGCACATCCCTTGGAGGCCAACTCACTCCTATCCAACAAACCGCCATTACCTATCAGGACAGCACAGCTGTGTGAACTCACAAGTCATCAGGGGGTGAGGAAGAGCAGCTCAGGAGAAGCCTGGAGTGTGGTTTCAGCAGTCCTTTGCTGACTAAACCCATCACAGTTGGTGTGAAATGGACCCCTGCTTGGCAGCTATAGTAGAGGTCAAGGACTGAATGGACCACAGAGGCCAAACTGTCCTCATCAGTCCAGGTCAAGGAAGCCTCCCACACTGCCCCTAGCAATTAGGCTCCAAGGCTGTAACCAGCACAGAAAGTTGTCTTAGAGTCAGGTGTCCATTAGCAAATTGGAATATGAGGTTCTACCAAGTCACCCAGGGCTAGCCCAGGTCTAATGGGTGAGCCGAAGTGCACTCCCTCCTGTGACTGGAAGCAGGTTACAAGTCCAAAGTGCTGGTGAGGTGAAGGCTGCAAAGATAATCAGTGAGAAAAAGCCGGGCTTGGGCCCTTCTGCTTCTCTGACAGTGGAAGGCAGCATGGAAGGATTGGCAACTTTTCCTGCATGTTTTAACATTAGGCATCAGGCTCTCATCTACCATGGAAGCCTACAGAGGCTGGAGAGCTGTTAGACACCACATCCCATCTCTCCAAGGCGAGAGCTCCCAGTCCAGTTGAGACCTCCACCATGTCCCTCTACTCTAGACGTTTAATGGTTCAAACATGACCTCTGTACATCAAGGACAATTGTTTAAGACTCTTTTGCAGGTCTTCACATTACCAGGGTGCAAGAACTGCACCTCTAGCATGGAGACATACTTACTCCCCTTTATGTTCTACCTACGCCCCCCTGCCAGGCTCAGAGTATCCACTGGCAAGAGACTTTTCCCGAGTGTCACACACAACCCCAGGGCTCTGCTTTCAGTACAACTTCCAGATCAGGATCAAGGAGGGCTCTTCATAGTCCAGCAAGGTGGTCAGCCCTCAGCCCACAAAGTGGTTAATCCAAATTAGTTGAAGACTCACCCATCCTGCTCTCCCAACGTGTGCATCCAGCTGACATCAGACAGCCCAAATGACAAGACGAGAGTGGCTACATTCAACAGTTCTTCAACTGGCAGCTTTAGCTGCTAGACAGGGACTTAAAGCTTGCCACTGAAGAACTGGTGCAAGTTAGCCAGCAGCGCAAGTAGCTGGAGTAGCAGCTGAGGAGGAAGCAAACCAGTCAGAACCAGGACTCAGCACTTAGAAATGAAATCAAGTCATACTGGAACGAGAACTCAAGTTCTTATACCAACGGCTGACAGTGCTGGGTACTTCCCTTCCTGACACACCCTCTAACCACACAGCCCATACAGAAACCCTTCCTCCCACCATGGCACCTGCTGCGTGCAGCGTTCCCTACCACTGTTGCTCCTGCTCCTGGCACAGAGGGTCCTTGCGGAGTGGAGATTCTCATGCGAGACTAAAAACTGGAGTGGGTATGACTGAAGGATTCCTAAGATTGCAACTGACAGGGGTTTCACTCTTACAGGAGAGATCTGCCACACAGGCTTATGACTATGCCAGCTGTGCTTTA